GATGGCAACCGTCCCTCTTCAACCAGCCGCCTGCTAACTCGCCGAGGTCCCACGTGGCCAGATGCATCTCAGCATCCATGCGCTCGCTGGCCTGTGTGTGCAGGGGCCAATGGCCCGGCCCCTGCCTCACCTTACCCTGTGACAATGACACCACTGCCCTGCCTCACCTTGCCTCACCTCACCCCGCAGGACGAGCCTCCTGCCCACCGCCCCACCTGCCAGAGACCTCCTGGATCTCCCCCAACCCTGCCCGGCCCCCACAGGCGTCCCTCCCGAGCCACATCGAGGTGATCATGCCCACGTTCGCCACACCCACTCAGTCTGCCATGACCACCATAGCCAGGCCCACCCAGTGAGCCATGCCCACTTGGTACCCGGCGATAAATAAGTGGGTTTTAGGTTGCAGTTGCACTCGGTCTCTAAAAGGTTCACCATCACTGTCCTAAGAAATAGACTTCTCACCTGGGGGGACGGGGTCTTGCGTCCGGCTCTGCTTATGTTTATGTTTATTTTTTTTCTTAGGTGGCTGGATGTGCATTAAGCGACATTGTTCTGGTAACTGGTGTAACAGAAACAGAAAGGCATGTCAATACGTAACTTCCCAAGTACCATTGAAGAAAACATATATAATAGACTTATGGCTCTACTTTTTTTTTTTTTTTGCAAGCTGATCAAAATTTCCATCAGAAAAATTACTACTACAGTTAATTCTCACTTCAAGATGGTAAATTGGGACCAGAATTTCCGTTGCTAAGCGACCTGTTTGTAAAACATGACCTTATGTGACTCTGCTGCTTAGTGACAACAGTTCTGGCACTTCCGATTGCTGTCATTAAGTGCAACGTCGCACGGTTGCCATTTGCAACTTCCTGCTAGCTTCCCTATTGACTTTGCTTGTTGGAAGCTGGCAGTGAAGGTTGCAAATGGGAATCCTGTTCTGATGTCATAACTGTGAGCTAGGGGCTATGGCTGGCTGGACACTGTAAGGATAAGTATGAGGACCAGTTGTAAATAGCACTCCTTCAGCACCATCATAAATTGGACTGTTGCTGAAGGAGTGGTCATTAAGCAAGGACCACCTCTATGTTCACTTAAAGTTTGTTTGTGTCTATTGCAAATTAAGGATTTTTGTGCTAAAGCAAAATTATTCCTAATCTAGAGTTTCATTGCTTCCAGCTTCCAACTTTACAAATGCAGCACTGAAAAGCCTTCTGGCTTCAAAACAAGAACCAGCACAGTATAACGATTAAAATGTTGGACTAGAGCGAGGAAGACTTTGATGAAAACTTTCACCCTTAGCTAGAGAAATTTACTTGGGTGATCTTAAACTAATACTCAGCCCAAATTTCTCAGATTGTTCTGAGGATAGAGAAAATCAGGATATAAATTTAATGAATAAATACATGAAATGCAGACAGAGGCTCCTCTTATGATCAGATCTCTCATGACTCTTAGGAATATTTACCACAGAAAATTACTATTGCCTATTTTTGGCCAATCCAATAGCTATGACAAAAATATCAACAAAAATTTGCTGGTTGTTTGAGATGACAATTTTAACAAGTATTTATCATTTTCTATTGCTTCTGTTGTGAACCAGAACTAGACATGTTGTGCTAATATAGCCATGGTGGTTCCTATTTCACTGTACTGTGCAAAATTGGTGGCTCAATATATCATATGCTGAGACTCTCTTTGAGGGAGCTGTATGGTTTAGAAATATGAAATATAAATACCATATATATAAATTCTATAAATATAAGTTTTCTCTGGAGTTCAGCTAGGAATTTTCACTTGATACCAACTTTGCAACAGGTGAAAGAAAGCTTCAAGAAATCCTTTTGTAAGGATAATCTCTTTTGTCCTTTGCCTGGAACTTATTATTTTCAACCCTACATAAGTCTGTTCTGACAGAGAAGATATAACTCCAGTTATTTTTTGGGAGAGCGGACACTGGTTGCCTTTAAGTCAGTCTTTATTCCTGGCATGTACATAGATATTCTATATATATTTTCTGGCAACATTTTCAGACATCAATTATGGTTGCCTTTTTCCTAAGACTGACTGGTCCCAAATGATCCAGTTTGCTTCCATACCCAGAGTAGAAGAAGAACTCAAGCTTCCATTCCTAGTCAGTACCATAATCAATAGTCACATGCTATATACCATATTCTAGAAAACTCCAGTCCACTTGATTCTGGGGGCTGGCAACATATCTATAATATAGCATCCATGCTGCCCAAAACACCCTGAATTCCTTTATGGTCAATATCTCATAAAGTAGACAAATTGAATTATTCAAGAGTTCTGCACTCTAATCTCTTTCTGTCATTTAAATTATTTATTTGCATCTAGATTGCAATGTAATTCCCCAAAAGTGTCCACTCATAATGAATATATTTAGAGGTGAATTAATTTTCAGATTCTAAATTGATAATGGTCAAACCTTAACCTACAAACCTGTAATATTCTTAGTTGCCAGTCTGGCAAGTTTCTTTTTCATTTGAGGCATCACTGTGCATTTTGTTTATAACAGTTAAAAACCTTCATTAGGACAACCTGTCTTTCACCCAAAGCACGAACTCACCGGGCCAGCATGGAGACGAAACCCTGTTAGCATGGTCCCAGTGATAGGGTTGAATGAGCTACCGCAGATGGGAGGTTTTTCAATTAAAGAACGCAAGCTGCTGTTGTCGTGTGAGCCTGGCAAATCGATCATTCCTGGCAGGTCAGGCAGAAAGTTGCTGAGTTTCTCTTTCACCTTTTTGCCACAGAATTTATTGTAGGCATGCTCTAAGTTGTAGTGGGTGATCAAATTTGTGCTTCCTGTTAGTTCTGTGGTACCTGGCAAGAAATGGAACAACATTGTAAGGCAGTGGTTCTCAATTTTTTTAATGCCGCGACCCCAACCGGTCGTAAGTCGGGGACTAAACCGGTCGTAAGTCGAGGACTAAACCGGTCGTAAGTCGAGGACTACCCAACTGGTCGTAAGTCGAGGACTTTCCCTGCCCGGGAGCGCCGCACATGCGTGGTTCCGCTCCCTGCGTCGTCCGAGGCGTAGCTGGCAAGCGGCAGAGACGGAGCAGGCCGACCACCAGCTGGCCCAGCCCAAGGGAGGTAAGGCACCCGCCGGAAAAGGGGGAAAATATGGCGGACAAAAAAAAATGGCGGACAGCCTTGCTTGGCGACCCCCGTGAAATGGTCTATCGACCCCAAATGGGGTCCCGACCCACAGGTTGAGAACCACTGTTGTAAGGTAACAATGTTACTGAGTGTTTTGCCTAAATTAACAGCGCAGATAAAAATGTTTTAAGAAACCCCCAAAGTTTGGTAGAAGCTGATTTTGAAACCAGATCCTTTCTGTAGATGACCATGATACAAGTCCTATTTTATATGACCTGAAATACTAGCAGTGAGAATGGAATTATTTAAAATATTTATAGTGTGGTCTTATCCATAAGATTGTTTGACGCATTATAATCCATAAAAAGAAAACATTAAAGCTACAAAACCAAGTAAAATATACACCTTCTCATTTAGTTACCCTTCCTTAAATTGGAAGCAAAATGGTTTCTAAGTGAGTACGAATGAGACTGAAAGAGGGAGAGATACTGTGAGGATCTCTAGAGCAGCGGTTCTCAACCTATGGGTCGCAACCCCATTTGGGGTCGATCGACCATTTCACGGGGGTCGCCAAGCAAGGCTGTCCGCCATTTTTTTCCCCTTTTCCGGCGGGTGCCTTACCTCCCTTGGGCTGGGCCAGCTGGTGGTCGGCCTGCTCCGTCTCTGCCGCTTGCCAGCTACGCCTCGGCCGGCGCAGGGGGCGGAACCACGCATGCGCGGCGCTCCCGGGC